TAACCGTCTCGAATACATCCATTGATTCAAATCGATTATAAAAGCAAGCGTCAAAATGCTACCTACACTTCTCTGTTTATTTCTGATTATTCTTAGTCACTATCGTTCGTTTGTTTTTCCATGTCTATGGTCGTTGTTTGAGGGTGCACTACGTTTATCTCAGTTGTTGATGGATGTGTGGTACCTACGGTCGTTGTTTGAGGCTGCACTACGTTTATCTCAGTTGTTGATGGATGTATGGTGTCTATGGTCGTTGTTTGAGGCTGCACTACACCTATCTCACTTGTTGATATCACCATAATATCTGCATTCTCATTATTTATATCAAAATTTTCCAGATGTTGATATCGTTCATAGAGAAAATAAACTGTTAATATAACAGTTATTAAATTAATAATCATAAAACTTATCGTCAGTATACCATGTCCAAATAGTTTACGTTTGATTTTTCGTTGATAACAACATAAAAAAATCCAACTAATAATTGATATAAAAGTACATGCCGCTAGTATAAATAAATTCGATAAAAGAAGAGAAGTTGAAATAAATATGTGTCGATAACTATGATGATACCACAATAAACCCAACAGAATAACGGTAATTAATATCAAGATTATAATTAAAAAATAAAAATATTTACTTAATTTTCTGACATTATTTGATACTTGATGAGGATGATGGATAATTAATTGTTGTTGGTTTTCATTTGTATTAACAGCATGATATTGAACTGTCATATCCAATCTATTATCATCATATATTCGATTTTTTGATGCCATCATATTCTCTGTTTAATGCTAGACAGAATGAATGATTAAAATGTTTGTTTTTGTTCTCTTTTTTATTATATGTTTTAGTTTTTTCCCATATCGTATTACAAACTACAAAAAGTTGTGAATATAACTGATAAGAATAAATGAAAAATCATCTCTATGTTTAAACTAGTTTAGATATCTATCTTAATGTCTATTGTGAAGGAAAGACGGATGTGTCATAGATTTAAAAGTAGTGTTTCAAATATTCAACTCCAACATTCATGTACAGCTCATCTATGTCTATGTTGTTGTACTCGGAATTGATTCACTATTAACTCTATACAGAGAAAACAGATGCTTGATTTGTCCAAGAGATATAGACAGCACACAAGAAACAAGTATGAAGGGAAGGATACAAGCATTACACGTTTAATAAAATGAGAAATGAAAACTCTTACGTATTTAGTCCAGAAACGAATACATGTGCCTCATCAATATAAGTCTGAACGCTCTATTAATTATTCTTTCAAACGCGATTTGTGTCTTGTTTTCGATCTGTTCTTCTCCTTTCTCCGTCTGACAAATAAAAAGCAAAACTTTAATTGAAACTTACTAATAACATTCTCTACAATTGGCATCTAACTGTATTTATTATTCTGCTATTGTAGAATCGTTAGCTTGCGCTTGACACCACAAAGCATCATCTATTAAACACGGGAAACGCAGCAATTCATGACTTGTATACGCGTCCTTCTGCAACAACTAACCATTTACACATGGAAAAACAAACGAACGATAGTGACTAAGAATAATCAGAAATAAACAGAGAAGTGTAGGTAGCATTTTGACGCTTGCTTTTATAATCGATTTGAATCAATGGATGTATTCGAGACGGTTAATAATTCAAGATTGTTTTGCACATCATCACTAGTAAGAGTGAAATGTGAACCATCTATGTTGCTCGTACTTTGTCTCTTTCGAATAGGGATACCAGATTCAAAGCAAGAAGATCAGAAAATGAAAGCTCAAAATCAGAAAATCAATAGATCTTTGAATAAAAAAGAGTAGAAACGAGGAAGAAAAAGTTCCAAAAACTAGAATTTTTCTGCCAAAATCAGAAGATCTGGGGACTCTACTTTCGATATTTAAAACCATTGCCTCAAATGTTAAAGAATCGGATAGATATTAGTAGAATTCAAACCAACTTCGAATTACAGATCAAATTATATCAATTTGCATTGCATCCTTGAAGTATTGAATCTAATTATTCATCGTCGTCACCGAAACGTGCCTGAAATTACAAACGAATAAGTAATGAAACATATGAAAAGTTGAAAAATCAGAATATTGATCATATTCAATTTCGCGTACACTTATTACGAATACAGCTAAAAGTTGCTTTGCGCTCGGTTGTACTGAACTAACTGAAGTATTTAAAAAATTAATAATCAAGTCACAGTGCATAAAATACACTAGTTTTTATCCGTCACATGTGTCCAGGAAGAAATATTAGTTAGAAATACAGTGTACTGGTTCTTAGTAGGCTTTATAATTTTCAGATTTCTATAAACTGTTCAAGTAACATAAAAAATACCATTCAGTACACCACAATTTATTTATGACACACGTCAGTAGAGTCCTACGGGTCTGATATTTTTGATCCTGAATCCAATCGCGTTCCGTAGACTTAAAACCCGTCCCGAATCTGAACTCGCACGAATTATTTAGGGATCTCGATTCCCCGACCCGAAAAAGTGATGGTTGGGATAATTGGGATTTGATAGTTGGAAATGTTTCCTCGTTAGCGTGTTAATCTTGAGTGCTATTGTGTAACTTGAGTAAGTTAGACATAAGAAGAACTTCAATTCAAATAATTGATACATAGATTGTCCGTAGAAAATACAATGAAAAAGACAAATATCAACTCGAACTCGCTTTAACATAAATAACCTGAAAATCTGATCAAAAAATAACCACGTTAAATAAAAATAAACCGTTAACTTTTTTGATAATTATTAGTTTATGAATGTCCATGAACATCGGCGATGGCATCGTCCGATAATGTTTCACGAACATCAACATTTTGGTCTTCTACAGTTTTATTATTACCGATTCCTTGAAAAATTTTAACAGTGGCGAACTTTTTTGAATCAGGTAGTTGAACCTGAAACGAAACAAAATAAAATGATTGCAGAATATGTGCTTTTACAATTAAATTAATATTTATGTACTCTGAAGTAGTAATTTATTCCAGCCACACATTGACGTGCAACGGACGCTGGTTTATCTGCTAATTTGACATCAGCATCGAGATTGAATTTTGAACGAATTTTTTCATCAATATAATTTTTATGCTAAAAGATGTAATAAATACATAATACAAACAAAAATTCATATTTATTTCACCTTATTATAAATTTCTTCAGCATCTTGATCAACGTCTCCAAACTGACTAACACCACCACATATCCGTGGTTCTCTAGAAGGATATAGTTTGAAAAATTGTAAACAATTTCTTGTTTTACTAACTTGAAGTTCGCCTGAACTTGGACTGTTTCTGCCTGTTGTGGCGCAGGATTTATATCAGTAAAATTTGACATTTTAAAAAACAATCTGTAAGAAATTAAAACGAAAGAGCTACAATGAAAATAAAAAGAGTTTGAAAGTCATATGATAGGTATTCATGTTTAGGTAGGCAATAATTATCTACTTCTTCTCTTTCTATACTCGATTGCCGTTTCAGAAAAAGAATGTCTATTTTAATATGAAACTATTTTGTTGTTCAAGCAGTAATATTTATATCTGAGATATGTCTTTTGATGCTTAATTCTCACTTTTAACGATGTTATATTATGTAGATGTGTGTAATCTATGTGATCAATGAGTTGAAAACAATTGTTCTCTCCTACTGTTTCAAGGTAAAAGAACGAAACAAATTTTCAGCATTATATATACTTTTGTGTGTCTTCGTGCTGTATGAATTGTCAATAGTTTACACACTAGACCGATTGCACATTTCTAATTCTTGCTTTTCCACATCGAATAGCAGAGAAAAAAATTGATCAAGTATTACTACTATTCTACAGAAACAAAAAAAGAGAAAAAGCAGAACGAAAAAGACGAAAAGAAACCTATAAGAGCCATTGCACGTAAGCCACGACCGACGTTCTTCAATCGATGTTCTCGAAACTTTTCCAAAGTAGGGGACTTTTGTAGACCAAACATTTTAAGGAATTTTGGTAAAAGGCGCAAATCAAAAAGTTGTATCGTTGCTGAGATA